ATGTGATTGTGGCAAATTGCAGGTCTTGGTTACTCCGATTTTCGGGATTGCCCATTGTTCCAAAAGTTGCGAGGCGAGCCCAAGTTCGAGATATAATTTAACGTTTTTTTAGTAAATTGCAGGGTTTCCTGGTTTACTGTAGTGGACTTAAAGTTTGAATTAACAGATTTTTCTTGATAAGTCAAACGGTTCATGATGTAATTTTGCAAAATAAGCAGCCATTCTTCTTTCACAAGCGCTTTGATAGTTATCAGGACAGAAAATTTGATTTTTTTTAATCAGTTAGTAGAGATCTTTGCTAGTATTTTGTTTTCTCTATCTCTCTTTCCCCCTCTCTCCGTTTCTCTTTTAACTGAATCATCAGAAACCTTAAAATATACCGTGTCTTGTACTATTTCGAGTTTCTGTCTTACGCAACCAAACTTACAGTCACGGGGCAACATCCCTGTCCATCTCACTCTCACTCTCACGTACTCTCTCTCTCTCTCTCTCTCTCTCTCTCTTTCGGCCGGCCGGCAGCTAGTCCATTTCGGGGAACATTATGGCTTCTCCTTAAAGGGGCTGGCCAAAACGCCCCTTTAATCCACACCCCACCCCCTCTCCCGGAAAATATTAATTGGATGGCCTTTCCCACACCCAGGATCCCTATCTCCTGGTTTCTACTTATTTTTGAAATTTCTAATCAGAAGCCATTTTGGATATCTCGAGGGTACCAGCAGAATCACTGTACTCAGGTCCTTGACTAGACAGGAATTTCTTAGCTTTTAAGGAGTCCAAGGCTAGTTTAAGCGCAAGCCTAAGACTAAGCCTACGCCTAAGCCTAAGCCTATGTCTAAGCGTACGCAAGCCCAAGCATACGCCCAAGCCTAAGCCTAAATTTTAAAAACACTTCTGGCCCAATTTTAGCCACTTAGATGACCGTCATTTTCTACATAAATATACTTTCCCCTCTCCCCCCTTCAGTAATGCCAGGGTCCACGCAATTTTTGGAAATTTTTCGGCGGCTCAGGGACATTCGCAGGCGACGACGAAGCATTCAAATGTGCCAATTTTCCAGACCCCGTTTCCGCCGAATTCTTGTTTTCTCAATTCCTCAATTCCTCCCATCATTTCCTCGGGTTGGACGGTATTTTGCACTTGAAAAAAGCTGTACTCCTCGTGTTCTCCGGCAGATTAATTTTTTCATCCCCGGGCAATTTTCCAGTTAATCTTCCACAAACTGTTGAGATATCAGATCCGCCCGGCCCGGTGGGGAGATTAGCGTGAAATATATGAAAAATTTTGATCCTAAATTTTGTGGGTCTGCAGATTTGGGTATTATATTATTGAGGGGGATTAATTTTTTGAAGTCCTTGATTTTGTGGAAGATATTGGAAGCTGTTGCGATATTTTGGAATCTTCCCTCTTTTGCTTCAAAAACAAGCGTGACTTTTACCATGTTTTTCTATTCTTCTTTTTTATATACAATTTGCGTTCTTAACGTCCAGGTTGTTGCTTGTTATATCTTAAAGATTCCAAAAATCTCTAAAAGGGAAGGGCACACGCCATAATTTCGTCAAACGCTCGCGGCTACCCCGGGTAATCACATGGAAACACGATGCGCGCCGATTCCTGCCGACCCGTGACAGAGATACAGCACTTCCGGAAAATCATGATTTACATGCGAAAAATTAGATCGGGGAAGGTTTATTAGGCTCTCCATCAGTATGGATCACCGGTTGAATGGCCGATTGGCAACTCGCTGATAGGATACTGACGAGGTACGGATCCGCCGTGATTTCGTTTTGCCTTTTGACAATTTTTTTTGCAGAAGTCCACAACTTTTCTTAAATGTGTAAATACTCATTTGAAGCCGTATAATACCTCTAGCATTCATAAAACTTTTTCGAAAAATTTTGTTTTTCCAATCATTCGAGCATCCATCGACCCAACGGCTTATCAAATTCACTAATTTTGGAAAATTTTTATGAAATCGCTGTCTAACGAACTTGACCAGGGCCCTTAAACAGGATAAGGTGATAATGCAAACCAAACTAGAGCGTCACGCTTGGCTTGGGCAAAAATTTTTCCCCATAATTTTTTGATAGTTTGACAGCCGATGGATGGGTGGAAGGTCGAAAAAACAAAATTTTTCGAAAAAGTTTTTATTTGAATGCTAGAGGTATTATACGGCTTCAAATCCGTATTCTTACACATTTAGGAAAAGTTGTGGACTTCTGCAAAAAAAAATTGTCAAAAGGCAAAACGAAAAATCACGAGCGGATCCGTTCCCTCGTCAGTATCCTATCAAGCGAGTTGCTTACCAATCGGCCATTCAACCGGTGATCCCATACTGTGGGGGCCTAATAAACCTTCCCCGGATTCTAATTTTTCGCATGTAAATCATGATTTTCCGGAAGTGCTGTATCTCTGTCCACAGGGCTCGGCAGGAAAATCGGACAGCGGCATCGTGTTCTCCATAGTCGATTACCCGGGGGTAGCCGCGAGCGTTTGACGAAATTCCAACCTGTGCGTGTGCCCTTCCCTTGTAAGCTTAGCCAAAAAGCGTCCAATAAGCTTTTTCAGCCTGAAAAAAAGCCAATTTTTCAGTAAATCAAGAACTTCCACTTACTTGGATCCATCGTTCCAACTTTTGCTTCTTCCTATGCAAATTTCTAGACAATTTACGAGCCAATACCGATTTTCAGCCTCTCCAGCCGACAGCCGGGTAACAAAAAACGTACGCTCCGTACTAAAAAATGCGCTGCTCTACCGTAATCCTGGTCGCGTGCCTGTGCCTGCTCGCTATTGTCGCCGAAGCCCAGCCACGGCTGCCTCTCCTCGAGACGCGTATGCGGAAAAAGTACGGTAGTTTTCGGCGAATTTTAGAAAGCAGATGAAGTTTTTGTGATATATTTTAAAACTATTATTTCCAGCTCAGAACCCTTCATGCTGAACGGGCGACTGCGTGAGTATGGAGACTTGTAAGTTTTTGAGAAATCTTAGGTATTAGAATTAAGGTAAAATAATCGTGCGCGTAGAGCACGGGCACAGCCAATACAAAGCCTAAGCCTAAGCCTAAGCCTAAGCCTATGCATAAGCCTAACCCGCTTTCTTTATAATTATATGCTAATTTCCTTCCTTTTCCAGCAGTCCCTCCTTCCGGCCATCCGCCGAATTCGTCGGCCGGGCCCCGATGGTGGTGATCGACGGCCGCGTGTTCACGTTGAGAGATTGAATTTTTTCCTCCCTTTCCAGCCCCCTTTAAATTATCCACATTCCCCATATCTACCCTCTATAAGTAATGCCCTAGCCCCGTTAAGTCGTATATTTGCAATTGAAATTAAGCCCTGTCCCTGGTCGGATAAACGTTGTTGTAGTTTGTATCATGACATGCTATAAATAAAAATATCAAAATAAAGCAATAGGCAGAAATTGTGCGACAGTTGGTGCAAGTATAAGTTTGTAAGGGTATCGGTGCAACCTAAACGCGCCAAAATAGCTTCAAGGCATAACTAACGAGCCTCAGCCTTAGCCTAAGCCTAAGCACAAGCCTAAGCCTAAAGCTAAGTCCATGCCTATGCCTAAGCCTAAGCCTTAGCCCAAGCCCAAGCCTAAAGACTAGGCGTAAGCCAAAGAAATTCCGGCTGAACCGAAAATCCCATGGAAACTCCGCTACCTCGTAAAATGCACATTACAAAAGCCATAAATATCGGAGAGTCGGCCGAATATCCACGCTTAAAAACATGAGCGGAACTGGGCGAACTAATATAAGTTTTCGCTTAGGTTTAATAGTTACCGAGAAAACTCCTGTCCCTGAATTTTTTATGATTTTTTTATGATATAGGGGGTTTGTCGGGGATTTGGCCTTTTAGGATTTTGGTTGTTCAGATGCTTGATGTCGGGATTATGGCTGTCTGTCGGGATTTTGCCATTTTCCCCTAACCACCGAACAAAGCCCAACCATTCGATCTTCCACATCGTCGCTAGGACACCCCCGCAGACGGGGGAAAACGGCCCGGGTTTTACGAGCGGCTTATTTTGCCACGCCAGCCGACCCCGCGAAGCTATTACACGCGCCCTTCCGTCGAAAATTGTTCGTTCGTTTTTGGTGGTGTTTTACTATCGAACCAGTCTGGAAATTTCGATCTTTTTTTTCAGGCTTTAAATTCTCTGGGCGCAAAAAATCCTTTAAAACCGCGGCAGAAAAACTGCTTGGCGACTTTTCAACTTCAAGTACTTTTTCTAGAACCCATGACTTACCCAACCCATTACGCAAATCCGGTTGACCAAAAACTATCGACACAAAAACGCTGAATTTAATGTAAAAAACAGTTGCTCTTGAAAAATTGTTGGTGCTTAGCCATCCGTCAGCCATTACACACCTAATAACGTGCCATACATATCTTAAGAGTTTTGCCTATTCCTGGACCGTGAGGACGGAAGTTGGATGTTCCCGTATTTGCTAACGAACCAACTACCGCGTATCAGCTTATCGTAAAACGGCCGTGTCTATGTCTCCCAAATCGATTTTTCCACATTTCCGATTTATGCTAGCCAGCCGCCGGACATACTGCCCAGAATAAACGACATTTTTAAGACGTTTTCTCGTCCAAATCTTTGAGGGGGGTTGGTAGGCTGGGAAAAGCCGTGAATCATTTTGCTTGCTCTGAAACGCATTTTTGAGGCAAAATAAATACGTTTTCTCGGCCCACCAGCTGAACGTTTAGATGGATTTGGCGAATCTAAAATTTTGCATCGTCCTTTTTATATCCATTACTTTTAGCTCTATACGTATTTCAAATCACAAAAAAACTGCCCGGAACCTGCTTAAAAGTTCTTGAGTCTGGTCAGTGCCTTCCAAACATGAGCAAGCTCTGCGGCGTCCAAAATAAACAAACATTTCGCGGCGGGAGAGCCTGTTCTGCGCCCAAAATACTTGAAAAACGTCTGTGCTCTGATATCTTTTTCAATTTTCCGGTATTTGGATTTGTATCAATTCCAGCGGCTCCAATTTATGCATGAAAGGGCCGATCCTGATCTTGTGCTTTTGCTCGGTCGTGTTTTTACTGCTCTACGGGAAATTCGGTGATTTGGCAAGGTACGTTGGCCATAAAGTGTGGAAATACACTTTATAGGCATTCTTAATACCTGTAAAAATGGTTAATAAATTTTATGCCCCAAAACAACATCTAACTCGATTTTCAGTCAATCCCAATACGAAACTCTGCTCGGGCGGATCAGTTGGCCGGATCTTGGGGCAAATATCGATACCCCAAGCTTTCACACGACAAGAAAACCACGCCGAAATCGAAAACTTATCGTACCGCCCGATTCCGATAACGACTACACCGAGCTTGATGTATTCCCGTTTGACAGGACACCGATCGGGCGGTAGGTATCGAAACTCAACAAAAACACCCAGGTTTAGACCTAAAATCATCTTCTGGGGCTCGCGTGTTTTCTCCGAGAAAATGCCTGTAAATTTTCAACAGAGCTGCCCGGAAATGAAGGTCTGTAAGTGACTATTAGCTGTGAAAAGAGCAAATTTACGCTAATTAATGATACCATTTAAAGTATCGCTGTATCTTTCACTCTGACCAATCGCTTATCGCAGATGCTGATGCGGTGATATTTCACGAGGCTGATACACCTTTGCAAAAGTGTGTGGTATAAAAAAAATAAAGATAGCTTTTTAGAGCTAAACTCCTGCAAATACCCCGAAAACCTCACCAACGCTTTATTTGGTATACGCTCGAGTCGCCGGCGAATACCCATAGACCGCTGGATAATTATCCGGGTATAGAAATCTAAAAATAAAATTAAACGTCGTGTTAAATATACGATCAAAAATATGCGAAGTTTCAGCCCACTTTTTCAATTGGACAATGACCTATCTGCCCGAGGCCGATGTCTATTACCCCTATGATGCTGCCTGGATCACGAAAAAGGTTGCTGAACGGAAAAGTATGATTTTTTGGGGATTATAGAGCTTCGGGCTTTTATTTTAATGGTAACATCAATTTAGACGTACCCTTCAACCCACCGGTCATTCCTGATAAGGAAATATCTAAAAATCGAAGCTTACAAATCATCGGCATGATCTCGAACAATGTGCATATGAGGCTCAAATTTATCACCGATCTGCACAAGTCAGAAAGTTTTTAATATAGATTGTAAATTATTTTTAAAGGAAAGTTAATGTTGCCTTGCTTGGTGCGGCGGCATTCGAAGAAAAATGGAGAAATATTTGCCCAAGATCGGAGGGGAGTGAGTTAAAAAGGCATCTAACTTTTGAAAAAATTTTTCAGATGCTTGTATCAAGAAGCTAGTCGAGGATAGCTACTTTTTCATAGCTTTGGAGAATTCTATTTGTACTTGGTGCGTCGGGATTTTTAGCCTTAAAGTAATGACTTCTAGGTACACTACGGAGAAGTACTTTGGGCGCGCCGCGTGGAACAGCGTGCCGATAGTTTGGGCAAGAGAGTCGGGCGGGAATAAGTAAGTTAAGCTGTTTTCTCTTTTATTGTATGCTTTAGGTTTTTTGCTTTTTTTATTTATGTCCCCTTTATTGTTTTCGTTTTAGAATCTTCCCCCCAAAATCCGTTATCTTTGTCGAGGACTACCAATCTTACGAAGAAATGGCAAACCACCTAAAATATTTGATGCGCAACGCAACGGCTTATGCGGAATATTTTGAGTGGAGGTTGTTTATCTATTGTTATGAAAATGTATATTTAGAAAAACCCACACGATGGGTAATCGGGGGAAGACCCAGGAATGCGCGTTGTGCAAAAGATTACTAGCTGATGATGGGGCCTTCAAAACGGTAAGGCTGCCCTTGCTCTCAAGCTCTACTTTGCTTTAGTACGAATCTCCGATCTCGTGGTACTCCGAGCATTCTGCTTGCTCTTCCGAAGTGCCGGACCGCTTTTTACAAAATTAATAAGCTGGAAGCAGTTTTTCAAGACGATTCGGGTTTTTCATTGTGATTATAATACCGTTACGGGCTACGCTTACATTTCACTTTTCTTGATTGTTCACGGGTGTGAGGTGTTTTCTGGCACAAGACTTCTCTGGTTTGTGGTTTTATAGTAGGGCTAATAATAAATTGGTTATCTATATATGGTTTTCTAACAGGAATAAAAGTAAATTTATGTATCAACAGTGTAGGTAAAATGGTGAAGTAGCATAAAGTCTAGTAAATTCTCTCCCGACAACCTTCAAGTTTTTTGTATCTTGGTCTTTATTACGTTTTTAAAGGGCTAGACAATAATCGATGCCGCGAAAACAAAACTCCTAGAGAATATTGTCTCCATATCTGACGTCACAACTTCGACAGGTTTTCCAGAAAGCGTTAGCAGCGCATCATATTTTCTCTGCATTTTCTAGTCTTTGGCGGTTGGCACTGATAAGACCGAACATATAGGGGATGTCAGATCAGTTTGGGCACCTTTTTGCTCTTTGGATCTTTGCCAGATGCTTAGAATATTGTTTTCGGTCCTCGGAATCTTTTCCTATTCCGCGCTTGCCGTTCACGGACGTGGATGCGAAGATGGCGCCTACGATTGGTCAGACAAAAACGAGTGTATTCAAGCGTTTGGTGCTGGTGCGTTTCGCGGTTCCTTGGCATGCTATAAAACTACGAGAATATACAACCCATTTAAGTAATTCTATTACAATTTTAGTAGTGGACCAAAACGCAGCGCGTCAATCCTGTATCCACCTCGACTATTTTCAGGTTTGGCAAGTTTTGCATTGTCTGTACTTCTAGTTCCAGGGCCAGCTCGTCCAGCCACATTCGCTTTTCGAAAATACCCAAGTGGCGACACTCGTAAAAGGTTTGGTGGCAAAAATCCATCAAATCTTTTTTTAGGTCTCGGCCAAAATTCGTTTATCGGCGTGGAAAAGTCGAATAACGTCAGTTGGACGTATGTTGATGGGACCGAATTAGTGTACCGGAATTGGGCGGGTAGGTTAGCGCTATGTAGCTGTTAGTGGAAATTCCCCGGCTTCTTTACACAGTTTAACGATCCGCGCGCTATACATTTTCAAATTATGCTAGTTATAAGTATCTAATCATTTTCTAGCCGGTGAGCCCAACCCAAACCACGCCTGCGCCGCCATGCAAATCGACGGGCAGTGGCGATCGGTGGACTGTGATACGGCGATGTCTTTCGTGTGTTCGTATCCAGATAATAAATAAATGCCTTGACTAGACTTAAAGCTTTATGGTCTTCACAACTTTGATGTCGGAGAGCGTTGCGATTCCAAAGCTTTTCGCACAAGTTCCACCCCGTCTATGGCACATCCTTGGAAGAGAGTTACACCGGAACCGCCGTGACCGTAGTTGTGGATTACTGGGGTCTAGAAAAGCTAAAGTTTAATAAAGTATACTAGTCGATGCCTAAAGGTATATTTTCGAGCTCTGAGAGTATTACCATTTTCCCGGCGACCAATCTGTTCTCAAGCTCTACCCTCGGTGAATGTCTGCCAGGCCTCAGCCCAACACGATGGGACACGATTTCGGCTTCCTAAAACAATACGAATTCTATTTTCCCAAGGTTTAAGTAAACCCTCAACGCCGGCATCCGCTTTGCATTCTCCTCGAAGATCCATTTTACGGTCGCTGGGCGTACCGACAAGTCCCAGTCATCTTTTTCGGCTGTTCCTCCGAGGACGGTCGTTTCGGAGCTAAAATTTCAAGCTTTAACGTTTTTGAAGATCGTCAAAGGCTACAACTATCTACTTGGGTACCTACTTTGGCAAAATGTACATCTCGTCGTCAAGGTAAAAGTGCTTGATGGTTGGGCATTTGACTCGGATCACCTGGCCTCTAAAGGATGATTTTCTACCCTGAAAACTCTTAAAACCTGATCGGGTGCACCGTCTTATCGCCCACTAACTTTATGGCCCCCAGGCCCGAGCAGTTCACGATGGCGTCGTACTAAAAAATTAAAAGTTTATTTAAACCTAAAAATAATTACTTTGTTGCCCAGGTCATCTAGCGATTCTAGAATCCTCTTCTGAATGATTCCGCCGTTTTGCCGGAATCTAGAAATGTTTTTGAGTTGAATAGGTTGTTACGTTTTTAATACTGAAGCTTATAAACAGGGAAGTTTCTGAAAAAAAAACGAATAGAGAAATATGGACCAACTTTTTCAACAAATAACGCATATGAAGTCCGGTTTCCAGGAAGACTGTAGTGTAGAACCAACCTTGCCTAAAAACATTCTTTGAACGCTGTATCTTTTGCGTTTTCGGTCCCTTGAGGCCCAACCACATTTTTCTAAAGGGCTCTCAACTTTAAAAACATACTCCGCGGGATACGCTTCCGTGCCTCGTACTGCCAAGATCTCATCTGCGGGCAGCTCGCGGAATTGCAGGAAGAAATCAGCAAATTCGGGTCTTGGGACGGCTTTGCGCAGGAATTCGTATCTTAAAAATTCCAGTCGGTAAATAAGTACAAGAAAATCTCCTTTAAGAAAAAAATGTTTACCCGCTAATAATCATCGCGCCGTGGGTGGGATGTGACCGGGCGTAGCCGAGAATATAGGAAAACGTCGCGCCCAGCCAACGTCTGAAAAATATATCCTAGAAATACGATACCTTACACCTACAAAGTAGTAAGTTATTATTTACTTAAGGGTTTCTGGTGGTATACTCTCGCCAAGAAGGTATGGATGCCAAAATCCGGCCGCAATATCGGACGTCAAGTCTGGGGAAAATTCGCCGGCGACGATGGTAATCTTGAAAGCTATGATTTTTAACTATTGATTTTTTTAATCTACTGGCTCCTGACGAGGACCCTCATTAAATCTTACTTACCTCAGCATCCGGAAATTTTTTCTGAAGCTCGCAAGCTTGGCTGAGCCCGATGATCCCCGCACCAACGACCGCGATGCGCTTCGGCATTCGTGTGAAGCGTGTTTTAAGACCAGAAAACCACAGGAAAAATGGAGTGGCACTCGGATGCACCCCGGATTGTGGGTTCTCGTTTCGCTTATCAGTCATCGTCCGAAAATTATTACCCGGCCAGCCCCCCGGTACAGCCATACGGAATGACCGCCAGCACGTGTATCCATGAGAGTCTCTGAGCGAGGGAATTGGTGGGGTGATCGAGTGTTAAAAAGCTTAAAAAATACTTCGGAATATTTTATCCCATCGAAAAATTAAAAAATTATTGGAAACGTTTCGGAAACTAGTTTAAAAGCGCAGAGAAGCGGAATACCTGCAGATAACGTTTTTTAAAAAGCAATCGGCAAGCTTTTCCTATGACCGTCGCATTAACTATACATATATCGTATTCAAGAGTTTATTTGTGGTATATACCCGTATTTAAGAGTTTTAAAAGTTCACGGCGTGCAAATTTTTGACTTCCCAAGCCCTTTAACCGGTAAAAGTCGTACTCTTGCGCCCAAAACCTGCCAAAAGGAATTGTTTCCCGTTTGGAACCACCCCTCTTTCGGATCAAGGCTTGGACTATGATAGGGAACTCTATCTTTCTCCCTTTTCTGCCCCCATACCGGTCTGCGGTAAGCGGGCATTTTCTGGGAGGCACGGCTGGGGGTCGAACCCGGGTCGCGCGGGTGGGGGTCATTCCCTGGCACCACTAGGCCATGGGCACCGGCGATTGAGGCTGCCCTGTCGGCGCCTAAAAACGCTTTCTCCGCCTTTCCAAATCTGTAAGTTGCGATTTTTCGCTTTTATCGCATCCTAAATTCGATCCAACTGATGTATTCTAGTAGTTGCTTAGGTTTTACTAATTTTATACTTATTTTGAGGTAGATTCTAAGCACTAGGAATGCCGCAATTTAGCCTTTTATGCGATTTCCGGTTTCTTTCGTTCAGCTCTCGTTTTATCCCTATTTTTCTTTATGTTTAGTATTACTTGGAAATCGGAAAAAATTATTCTATACCGTAAACGATTCTTACCATTTTTTCAGGTAACTTGATGTAATTTTTGGACTCCGATGCTTGAAAAACGGCATTTCTTCGCCTATAGATTTTGTAGCAATTTATGCTCATCTACGAAGCGCTTCAGGAAGACCTGTCAGTTGTAAATGTTTTGTATGGGTGTTATATTTTATTTTTAATAAAGGTATTGATATTTCTCCGTCTCTGGCTTTTTAGCGTTAATTTCCGCATAGCCCCAGGGCCACCTTCCCAGCGCAGGGTTCCGAAAATTTGAATGGCACGCCTCAGGCGGGTGTGTGTTGATTTATGATGGGCATGAGGTGAGAGAGAAAAAAGAGAGAGAGAGGGAGAGAGAGAGAGAGAGAGAGAGAGAGAGAGAGAGAGAAAGAGAGAGAGAGGGAGAGAGACTTTGACAGCAAACCTATTGCGACGACCAACCATCAGCTAGAGAGCATGCAAATCGAGAGGATCTCGAGAAATTCCTCTAGTGTGTGCGTATTGCGGTATCTGGCAATCGGTGCATCTGCTGGGGGCTATATCTGCCCCACCTCACAGCCCCAGGTCACATCTCCCGCCAATAGTCCTCTACCGTAAAATGCCGAAAATGCCCGGCGGGGTCGACTCCACCCCTTTTGAAGGGGAGGATGCAACGTTTGGGCAGTATATAAGTCCTGGTCAACGGCCAGAGTTTGCTTATATTTTTTCCTGGCTGACCTAACGAACTCCGACCTCCCTGGACTACTGTAGAGTCGATAATCGGTTGTTAGCAACTGTATTTCGCAACTATTTTGGAATCTAGACCCTTTTTTAAACCCAGAGTTTGTATGCGATCTATAAATCATATGGGCAATGAAAGTATTTTTTTAAATAGTTATAAGCATTAATGCTAGTTTAGGTAGCTATCCCTAGTATAATCTTTAGATTTTCTATTATAATAATAATAATAATTTATTCAACACTAAGGTTTCAATGAGAAACGCTTAAAAGTGAGGGAATATGGGAGGAAAAACGAGAAAGAGGAAAAAAATTGGAATAGCAAGAAAGAAAAAAGTCAATAATGATGAGGAAAGGGGCATGGTTATATAAAGGTTAAGATAGTACATAATCCATTGGAATGAGTTTGGCTATAGATTTACGAAAACTTTCACATGTTGAAGCAGAGACGATTGAGGGGGGGAGGGAATTCCAGGTTGAGCAGGTTCTTGAGCTAAAAAAGGCTTTGTGGTAGGATTTTTTAGACGATATTAGAGGTCGTAGTTTGTAGGGGAGGCCACGAGTGGAAGAAGCATTGGTACTAAAAAATGTGCTAGTAGAAACATTAGAAGAGTAATTATGGAGTTTATAAAAGGAAGGGAATAGTCAGCAATTGTGTTCCTATAGTTCAGCGGTTGGAGATTGAATTGTTCTAGTGCCGAACGATAAGACTTGTAATCAACCCTACATCGATAGCAAACTTTTCTAAGAAAATCCTTAAGTATATGTTCGATTGCAATGCGATCTTTTTTAAAAGGGAGAGGTTACAGGTGAGGGCATACTCAATTATAGGTCGAGCATAGACATTGAACGCTTTTGTATAAAGACTAGGAAGTCGACTACGGAAAATTTTAAAAAGAAGAAAGCAAACTCGCGCGGCCTTCTTCGTGACATGGAGAACATGTGGTGACAGGCTGAAATCATTGGACAGTAGAACACCTAAATCACGTATTTGTGTAGCCTGAGGCAATATCTGGCCATTAATAGAATAGCAAATTTTAGGATTACGCTTCCCATAGTGCATAGACGCACATTTAGGGATAGCAATGAATAGCTGATTGTCAGCAACCCATTTCTCCAATTTATGGAGCTGTTCGGGCAAAGTAGAGGGCATGGTCCGACCAAAGTGGCTGATTAATTTTAGATCGTCCGCAAAGAGTAGCCCATCGGGCAGATTTTGCTCATCATTTAGGTCGTTAATGAAAATAACGAATAGTAAGGGACCAAGTACGCTGCCTTGGGGACTCCGGAGATAACTGGGGCTGGATTAGATAGACAATCGCTGACCCGGACCATTTGTTGCCGCTCTAATAGCCAGGATCGAATCCAATTCAGAAGTGGTCCTTCAATCCCATAGCTAGCAAGTTTAGAAAGCAATCTGTTGTGATTAACGGTGTCAAAGGCTTTACAAAAATCGACGTATATAACGTCTGAAAAGAGACCCGAATCTTCAGCCAGCAATAGACTTTGAATGTGGCTCAATAGCTGGGAGGTTGTGGACCTTTGGGGCAGGAAGCCAAACTGCCTTTCTGA